CTGGCTGGAGTGAATGCCCTCCAGCAATCCCCTTCCTCCACCTCCTTTAAGTGGGACCACACTGGGGGGCATGCTCCCCTAAAACACTGAGTGATATACCCATGCTTCCTGTCAGTGTTCCCGAATATTCCTTTCCAGGCCAACCTCTCTTGGAATGTCTTTAGACATGGGCTTGTGGTTATAATCTGAAATTCTTTTGGATGCGGTAATGGCCAATTAGTTAAGTGTTTATCACTGCATGAAAAGCAATGCTAGGGGAGGAAGGAAGAGATGACCATTTATTGAGTGCCCATGAAGTGCTCCGAGCATTAGATGTTTTGTCTCATTAAATTCTCACAAAAACAATAAAACAGATTTCTTGAGTGGCTACTGTATAGCAAAACAGTGTAGTGTCACAGCCAACAGAATGAATGCTAAAGCCACATCACCTCAGCTTGGATCTAGGCTCTGCTGCTTCCTAGCTGTATGACTCTGGGCCAGTAACTTAAAATGGCTGTGCCTCAGTTTCCTCCACTGCAAAATGTGGATAACAGTATCTAGCTCGAGACTTTGTGAGGATTAACATATGGAAAACATTTGAAACAGTGCCTGGCTCCATGTGTTTGCTGTGATTGCTGTTGGTATTACTATATGCAATAGGGACATTGTAAAGGACAGTGCTATTATTTCCATTTTAAAAATAAGGACAGGGAGGCTTAGTGAAGTTATTATGTAACTTGTCAAGGGACACACAGCTTTCGCAGGGCACAGCCAGATTTGGAAGACAGGTGTATGCAGCTCCTACGAGCTTTCTATGGTACCCCAAAGCCAGAATATATTTCTACTACTGAGTTTTAGTCACTCAAGGAGTTTGCAGGCAGGCGCACAGTAAGGGCTCTATGGGCATTTGATCAATAAGTATTATTGAAAATATCCGTCCTTCAAACCCATAAACCATGCGAAATACAGGCTGGTTGAGGAGGGCAGCAGGGGGAACTGGCCAGTGCGGGTCAAGCCTGCTTTGGTCTGCAGCAGAAAGCTGGAGGTGAGGAGAAGTTCCCAGGAGAACAAAGGATTAGTCACAGGAAACGGTGGCGGGAGGGGGAGGGGAAGGCACAGAAGGGGAGTTACAGTGGAAACAAGGGCTGGTTATCCGGAACCGAGATCAAGATGGAAAGAGTAAGGGCTGGGACTTGCGCAGCTGGATGATAGAGCCAGAGATGGGCACCTGGGTGGGAGCAGACCAAAGGGGTGTGTCCAGATAGGCAGAGGGTGCGCCACAGGGATGCCCAAGGGGTGGGGAAGCAGCAGTAGACCTCAGGTCTTTTGGCGTCTCAACTTCCTTTCATACCTTTCCTTTCATAGGGTGGCCACAGAAGGACGAAACCAAAAGAGGAAAGGGCTGGTGGCCGGGGCCCCACTTCCAGGGAGGAGAAACTGAGGGTGGGTGGAGCGAGCAGTGCACGGCACTGGGGAACGCAGAGCCTCCCTTCCTGCCCCTCTACTCTTCTCTCATCCTGAAGAGAGCCAGCGAGATAGTGAATGAGATTATTATTCAATCAAATTCAATTTTTAAGCTGCATTTATTTGTACAGTGGGGGGTACTGAATTATCTATTAATTGGCAAAAAGAGTTGGAAAATAATTTCAAGTCCCCACTTATTTTTACTAAATTGTTTTGTCCTAGGAATCAATGGAAAACTTCTGATTCAAAGTCTGGGTCCTTGGCCCCCACCACCCCTATTCCCCACCTGGGTTTCCCTGGCCCCTCTCAGACCTGGGTACCAGGTTCTGAGGATTAAGAAAGCAGCAGGAGGGAAGAATTGATTCTACCCAGGGGGAATGGAAACCCGGCTGTATTCGTGCCCACTGGAGGAAATGCTAAGGCACAAAAATTCAAAGTCAAGTATAGAAGGATTAATCTCACTACATACATCATGTTGTTTGCTTTGCAGAGTTTTTCAACTCAATTTTTATTTTCAACGGTGAAATAATCATAAAAATGAATATGCTCTAATAAATTACATTTCCACATAAAGTTATGATGTGCACCTTGGACTTAAAAGGAGGTTCATCTGTTTTGTTTGTTTGTTTGTTTTTCCTTTATAATTGAATGCAATGGCTTTAAAATCTTATCATGAAGACAAACTCAGCCCTTGGCATGCCTGTGGAAACCACCAAGGAAGGCCTAGCCACTCACCAAGAACAAGGTAGCCTGTGTCCTCCAGGGCTCGAACTGCGTCTGGGCCAGGGGAAAGAGGGAAGAGGGCAGGCGAGGACCTCCGCTATCAGCGAGGACTATCAGGACGTCCTGCTAATAAACGACTTTTTCACTGTCCACACTATAATTGGTTTACAGCCTTTTCTGTTTATTTATCCATAAGAGCTGCTGTTAAATGGCTCGGGAAGGCGCTGGCCTAATGGCTCGGTATCGCTGCCGGCTGCAGCGGGCGAGGCGGCCTGGAGGGGCGCAGGCGTCAGCGGGGACGCGGAGCGGAAGCGCATTTCACCTGTAATGGACCTGGTGATTTTATGATACCCGCAGCTACACCCACAGAGAGGCACGACACACAATCTTACGCAGTGGCGGGTTCTGCGGGATGCGTTTTTTTAAAATATAAATGTACGTGATAATTAGCCAATCAAAAATTCCCGATAGCCGTGTCTCACCCAATAATAATAATAATAATAATAAATGGTGGTTTGACCTTTGCTTCCTAGGGCCCTTCTTGAGGGAGCAGGCAGCAGAAAATGCTCATTGGGAAGAAGAGAACGCGCCTCCACTGAAATCTTCAGCACCCCCGCCCCCTCCCACGGAGGGGGGGTACCCGGTTTTTCTGCCAGCGACCGCAGTGGGCGGACTTGCTTTCTGCTGAGAGCCTCTTTTCTTTCTGCAGGACCGAGCAAAAATATTAAATGGGAGCAAATGAAGCATCGAAATGGAGACCAATTTACAGAAATGTGCAATTAGACGAGAAGTGCAAAGTAAACACTCCGGGGGTGGGGAGCCACGCGGGGAGCAGGGGAGGGAGAGTGGGGCGCGGGCCGACCCGCAGTTGGGGGATGGTCCTCAGGGGAGGGGGGAGGGGAGGGAATGACAGGGGGAGGGGAAAGTGGCCGATCTTTGTCCCGAGCGGAGCTCCGCGTCTGATCATAACCGCGTCGCCAAGTCAACCCGCGGCGACTCCCCGGATTATCTCCGAGGGTCAACACACCGCGGCGGGGCAAACCCCTCCGGCCCTGCCCTCCGGGTCGATGCGGTCACTCGGGGCCCGGGTGATAGCTCCGAGTCCTCCGCGGCTGCCCTGGACAATGGGCTCATTGACGCAGGCGCGCAGAGGTTAGGTGCGCGGGTCCCCCGGTCTTGCACTCCCTGGCCCCTTAGGACCACAGGTGGCCCTTTTCCCTGAAGAAATCACCGGAACTCTCCCCGCCCGCAGTGCCTTCCCCCGCCTGCCCCTCGGTGACGACCAGGGCCTCACCACGCCGCCGGAGCCGCTCGAGTTCCCACACCCCAGGGACCGCTCCGTGGCCAGCGCACTACGTCGCAGCGCGAAGGTTGAGGACGGCAGCAGCATCCCACGAGAGAAGGAATCTGCAGAGAAGTCCAAACTCCCAACTGACTTTTTTTCTTTTGATGACAATGAGGGGTATTCAGAATAGCGCACTCGATCCGTACGCATTTAAAACACAAATATGATCAGTAGGAGAAAGTATATTAAACTCCACTCGCAAAGGTCTGGACGTGGGTGTGTAGTTTAGGAAAGTCAGGTTGCAGTGATTTTCCTATTACTCGGTTCTTTTTGGTTCACGCTCTCTTGCCGAGGCTTTTCTGCACAAGTGCCCAATTTTTCTAAAACTTTCTGTGGCGGTTTGAGAAATGCCTTCATTTCGGGAGGACCCGGTCAGAGGCCGGTTGGGCCGCCCGGCGCTAGCAGGTCAGCGGCGTCAGTCATGCCCAGGCCGGAGAGACCGGGCGCCACCGCCGCCCGGAGGGAGCCAGTCCGCCCAGGGGGTGCAGAAAAAGTGACTCTGTTTAAGTCAGGACCTCAGAGTCCCCAGAACTTACTGGATGGTTTGAAGCCCAGCACGGGCATTGTCATGAAAAATGCCGTGTTTTTGTTTCTTTTTCTAAATACCCCACTACCCTTCCCTCCTCGCCTGCCTGATTTCAGTTGCGAGTAGAAGAAAGCGGAAGTTCTCAGCTGGCAGACTCCGGCTGGGGTCTGTGGAGTCACCAAGAACCTGTAAACCACGTACCAACCCCCGTGTGCTGGTCTCCCAGCCAGTCCCTGACAGAGGCCTCTTCTTTCCGTCTTGCCACATTGGAAAACTGCGTTGTCAGTTAGCCAACTGGACCCCGATTGCCCAAATCAAAATTTGCAATGCCCTTCAATTAAAAAAAAAAAAAGTTTAAGCCACTGGGATGCTTCCGAAGTTACAGCCCACACCCCAGAAGTACCTGGAGCACAGTCACGGATAAAAACACGCGACGAAAGCCAGGGTTTTATGCTTGTTCACTGGTTGGTGGTCGTCTGCAAACTTCATAAATAAATTAAAACCAACTGATTTCGACCCATAGAGCTGGGTCTGCAAACGTTTTTATTCGTATTCCCCAGCGGTTAAAAAAATTACAACCTCACCATGTCTATTTATATTAATGAACTAATATGTACATTATCAAAGACACAGGGAAAATAAAAACGTTTAAAACACGCTGAAAATGTTTCTATAAATGAAGAGAAGTTCTGATATTTTCGTGCGCGCCCGCTTTGGAGAGCCGGGCCAGCCGCGCACACAGGGGTGCGCAGCAGACTCAGCTGACAGGGAACACTGGAACAAATGGAGGTGCTGGCGGGTCCCTGGCCCTGGCTTCTTAAGGCACTCAGCCAGGCCAATAATGGCCCCAGGCTGGGCCACGTGGGGCACAGCGGAGCCTATGGCACTGCGGCCTGCCCGCGTCTCCCCGCCGGCCGCGGGTTCCCTCTGAGAACAGTGCGGAGCTGTCAAAGGTAGCGGGAGCGCCGCCGCAAGCACAGTGGCGGAGTCGCCGGCTCCGGCTCCCTACTCCCGGCTCCTGGCGCCCAAGCCCAGGCTGCCGCCATGAACGGCGAGGAGCAGTACTACGCGGCCACGCAGCTTTACAAGGACCCGTGCGCGTTCCAGCGGGGCCCGGCGCCCGAGTTCAGCGCCAGCCCCCCTGCGTGCCTGTACATGGGCCGCCAGCCCCCGCCGCCGCCGCCGCCGTTCCCCGGCGCCCTGGGCGCGCTGGAGCAGGGCAGCCCCCCGGACATCTCCCCGTACGAGGTGCCCCCCCTCGCCGACGACCCCGCGGTGGCGCAGCTCCACCATCACCTCCCTGCTCAGCTCGCGCTTCCCCACCCGCCCGCCGGGCCCTTCCCGGATGGAGCCGAGCCGGGCGCCCTGGAGGAGCACAGCCGCGTCCAGCTGCCTTTTCCGTGGATGAAGTCTACCAAAGCTCATGCGTGGAAAGGCCAGTGGGCAGGTAAGCCTCACTCCCCACCCCTTTCTCCTTTCGGCTCTGGGCCTGGCTGCCCCTACCTCCTACGCTCCCCTGAACCCTCTCCCTGTTCCTGTCCTCAGCCCCTCCGATAACCCAGGGTCGGACTAAACTACACCACGGAGCCAGCGAGGCCATAAGCTGCCCAGAAGCGCTCAGATAGTCCAATCTGGAGCATCTTTCCCATCCAGCTGTCCTCCTGGAAGCTGAAGCCCCTTCCTTCCCTATATACTGAATCCATCTTCGCCCCAGGAGCCCTCGCCCCTCGGGTGCCAGCCCCAGAAAGTCAAGGCCTAGCCAAACTCAGGGCTTCGCACTCTCGGGGTCCTGCTGGAGCGAGGCATCCCGCAGCCTAGGACTCCCCGCTAGTGCGTGCTGAGCAAGAAGCCAAACAGGGCCCAGGATGTCTCTAACCCAGGCCCGAGGTCGCTTTCGGAGGCCTGGGTCCCCTCACTACCCGGGCTGTATTAGAGAAGCCAGGGCGTTTCTGGGGCACCAGATAGAGACAGAAAGGCAGGGAAGGAAAGGAAAACTGCATCCAACCCCGCAATGTCCGGCGGCCCTGGTCGGGGAGGAGGGTGGGAGTAAACAGGAAGGGGCTGGGGGCGGGGGTGCTCACCGCGAGGCTGAAGGCCGGCGGCTTCTCTTCGGAGCCGCGCAGCTGGGGGGCGTCTGAGATGCTAATTCATTTTTGACCAACCCAAAGCGTTTGAGGGGGTCTTCCGGCCCTGCTTCCCAGGAAGTCAGTCTGACCACATGCGCCCTCCCGGCACAGCGGGCCCAGGGAGGCGGGAGCCGGGGTTCCCGCGGCTCTGGGCGCCAGCGTGTATCAGAAAGTCCGTCCTGGAGCCGAGAGCCGAGGACTCGGAGCAGCCCCAGGTCCTTCCCGGCCAGGAGCTGCGGGCGAGTTCCGGCGTTGTCTGTGCCCCAGCCCTACACAATGTTATCGCTTCCATGCTGCAGCCACTTCTGGTCACACCTGCATTGCAAATAGTTGCCTTTTCTTTTCCTTTCGGCTGACAGTCGGGGGTGGGGGGAAAGAAGCTCGAGCTGGCGCCCCCACCCCTGAGGATCCTCAGCTGCCCGTCTGCAGGGTCTGCCTGCCCTGCCCGACACTGACCCCGAGCGCATCCTAGAGGGCCTGGGGGCAGGGGATCCAGGCTCGCCAGGGGCCCCGGGGCTCGCCTCTTCCTAGCTCACTTTCTCGCTAAGGCAAAGATCCTGACTCAGGACTCGGCCCAAATCGGTGCAATCGTCCCCACCTTCTGCGAAACCCGAGCGACTGGGGCGCCAAAAGCTGCGGAGGCTCTGAGGGGTACTCATCCAGCGCGTGTGGCCGGGGCCAAAGCCCTCAAAGTCTCGGGAGATGTGGGGTTCTTGGGAGGAGGGAGGACGGCCTGGCCCGAGGGTGGCTGCTCTCAGCAGGTGCTTTCCTTCTAGGGCTGCCTTAGCTCCAGGGCTCCTTTCCCTCCGCGCTGGCGACACGCGCATTTCTGGCATCCCTTGGCCCTCCAGGCCTGGGGCCTCCTGGCAAAAAGGACGAGTGTCCCTCAGAGAGGATTTCTGGGGTGGGGTAACTTCCCTATCCCACCCTAAGGGGTGCTGCTCCTGTTTTGGAGGAGCTTGGGCTCAAGAAGACCCAAGAAGCCAGGAAGGAAAACCCTAAGGCAAATCGGCAGCCTTGCCTGGGGGGCGGAAAGCACCCTAGGAGGGCGACAGGCTCGGGCTGGGAGTCTGGGCCCCAGAGGTCTCTGCCAGCACCCTGTAGTCCACTGCGCCCTCAGCCCGCGGGGAAGGAGCCGGCCTCCTCCTTTTCCTCCCTGGAAGCCGCCTGCGGGGCGCCGGCTACTACACGCCCCCTTCCCCACCGCTGCGGTCCTCGGGGAAAACTTTCGAAGGAGCCAAACTTCAAGAAGTGGCAGACTTACCTGCCCGCCCCATGGGGTTTCGCGCCCCGGGGAAGAGTGAAGGGACTAAAGGGCTCTCATTCCCAGCACGAATATGAATACTAACGACGACAGGGGTTTGTGAAACTCTCAACCTAAATCAACCGCATCAGCTGCTCTGGCCAGCTCGCACCCAAACTGCCTCACTCTGCGCTTAGGGGAGGACCCAGACACCGGGCCCTTGACCTCTCCCCATAACTCCTCCAACAGCCTCCATCCTAACCTCCACCCCATGCCGCCTGGCGCTGGGCACAGGTCGCCCAAGATGGTGGAGGCCTGCAGCCAAGGGCGGGAGCCCCGAGAGGTTTGGGTTGAATTTAAGAACTTTGGAGAACCTTTAAAATCTTCCTTTAAGCCCCCACCCCCCACCCCTTCTCTCCCAGGCCAGGGAAGGCGGAGCGGACTCCGGAGATGCCTGGCAGGGAGCCTGGCCTAGGCTTGTGGCGCCTCCTCTCGGCCTGGGGGGATGGGATATCCAGGAAGGTTGCGTTGTGAACTTAACCCCCTCCCCAAACACATGCACGCTTTCATTGCAACTCCCTGAGGCTTCAGCGAGAGTCACGGGGAAAATGCCCCTGTCCCAGCGGTAAGACAAACCGATTTACGCCTCCAGAGCTTTGGAGGAACTTCCCGCGCCAGCGTCCAGAGCCCGGGTGCCGTCAGCATTTCTCACACAAAGAAAAGGTCGGGAGGTGCTGGGGGAGCGCAGCTGCAGACACGGGCTGCGCCGCTCTGAGCTCCCGGCCCGGCCTCGCTGTGGTTTCCCGGTGGCCCGGGCTTGGACCTGGGAGCCCTGAGCCCTTGAAGGCTGGTTTCTGCAAGACCACCCCCTCTTCCGCCGCGCTCTCAGCCCCACTGGGGCCCCGGTTACCCGCCAACCCCGGTCCTCCGCATCTGCGGGCATTTGGGACCCAGGGCGCAGAACACCTACCGAGCTGCCCGGGTCCTGCTGCCGCCAAATGCGAGCTTCCCCCAACAGTATTCCTTCTCGGGGCAGGGGCCCTGCCGAGGTTACAACGCTCTAATTAAAGAGAATCTGCTGGCTCTCCAGTTGGGGCTGATTACAATGCAACTCTAGAGAGGGATAATATATGGTCAGGTACGACAAAATGTGTCATAACCTGGAGTAGCGCAGGGATTTTCAAACCGCGGGTTGCACCCACTAGTGGTTCATGAGATCAGTTTACTTGGCTAACGAAATAGTAAACGATGGGAAAAATTAGATAGCATGGTAGGTGGTAGAGGTTGGTTTATGTCCTGTAAAGTTTGTCAGTTATAGATCCGTATGTGAATTAGATAATGATCCGAAATGTATTTTTTTATTGCTGGTCATCGTTAGAAAGTGTTTTTAAAAAACATAAATTCCGTGTTAAAGACATGGTGCTGCCTTTGTAGAATCGACTGGGTTTAAGTATCTAGCGTATGCGTGTAAATCATCACTAAGAGAAACGCCGGTTGAACGGACTCATTCAGGGACCGCTCGCTGACAGAGCCACGCGTGGGCTCACAGCGAGAGCGGGTTCAGCTTTGGCCTCCAAGAAGGGGCTCCCCCTGCGCCAGGGAAAGGGCTGCGTGGGACCACGGTGGGTGCTGAAGTAGCGGACTCCGGCGGGAGCAGCTGGGAAGGCTGGGGCTCCTGGGGCCGCAGCTGAAGGCTGGGGTTCGTGGGCGGGGCCGGGCGGGGGCGGGGGCCCACACTCACGCACTCTGTCGCCCGCAGGCGGCGCCTACGCAGCGGAGCCGGAGGAGAACAAGCGGACGCGCACGGCCTACACGCGCGCGCAGCTGCTGGAGTTGGAGAAGGAATTCCTATTCAACAAGTACATCTCGCGGCCGCGCCGGGTGGAGCTGGCCGTAATGCTGAACTTGACCGAGAGACACATCAAGATCTGGTTCCAAAACCGCCGCATGAAGTGGAAGAAAGAGGAGGACAAGAAGCGAGGCGGCGGGACAGCGGCCGGGGGTGGCGGGGGCGCAGAGCCGGAGCAGGACTGCGCAGTGACCTCGGGCGAGGAGATGCTGGCGCTGCCGCCGCCGCCACCCCCCGGGGGTGCTGTGCCGCCCGCTGCCCCGGTCTCTGCCCGAGAGGGCCGCCTACCGCCCGGCCTTAGTGCGTCGCCGCAGCCCTCCAGCGTCGCGCCTCGGCGGCCCCAGGAAGCACGGTGAGAGGCTGGGGCTGCTCCCTGCTTGCCGGGCGGCTTCGACCCCTCGCCAAGGAGGGGGAGCAGGCCTAAGACCCCGGGTGTGGACGACTGGCCTCGGCAGTTGGATGGGGCCAGAAATGCGGGGCCCACCCTAAACCAGCGGGGAAAACCTGCTCTCCCGGGCGCGTGTGCCAACGGGGCCCCGCGGGGAGGGAGGGGAGATGCTGGCAGGACTTTCGGAAGGAGAAGAGACATTGGCTTCTGTCATACTTGGGACCTCTTCCGGTGACATTATTGGATTGACGGTGTCTGCAATTGCTGCGCACGCCCCTCCCTGCCAGCAACAGCCCCCGTTGGGACCTGTTTAGAGAAGCCGACTATAAAAAACACGGAAACTGTACAAATCGGAAACGCGGCCAGCGACTTGAACCGAGTGCCTTAATCTGCCGGTAGACACAGCCATTCTTACTCGGGGCGACCACTTCGCCTTTAGAAATAACTGAAACGTTTGAGGTTTCAACGAGCGGGTGAAATGGATCCCAATGGAATAGAATGAGCCCCTCCGCTCCTCCTCTTCCTTTTCTTCTTCCTCCTCCTCCTTCTCCTCTTCTTTTTCTTCTTCCTTTTACCCTTCTCCTTCTCCAGCCGCATACTTCACTACTGCGCATCCTTTAACGTGCACCCCTTTCTTCTGAAGAAGGGAAATTCTTGCGAGGCGGGCTGGGCAGCGGCAGGGCTGGCCTGAAGGAGCCGCGCAAGGGTCCGCGTGCGCTCCAGCGGGTCCCCCGCCGCTGCCTGCCGGGGAGGGCAAGGGGAGACCCGCCTGGACTTGGGGCGAGGGGATGATGGACCCCTGAGCAATCACCAAACTAAGACACTTGTAGCTTTCTGTTTAGGATGTGGATTTAGTTCCTGGTCTCAGCGGTAAGGCCATGCCGAAAGCAAGCAGGGTGGCCTGGTGCGTCTTGGGAGCAACTATTGCCAGAGCCAGTATGGTTACTACATCTTTAAAAATTATGAAAACATAATGTGATTGGAGGGTTTGGAAAACTGGCTTTTATTTAAAGTTTTAAAATTACCTAACGGCTCTTTGCAAACAGGTCTGTGCTTTCCAGATCAGTTCCTCCTTTCCAGGTCTGCGCCTTGTGTTCAGGTTATGATTGTGGAAAATGCTTAATAAATACGGATAAAACGGAAAGAGATAAAAACTTATTGCCCTCGCTTTGTTTCAAAGCTGCAGTGTGATGATTCCAATGCACTTCAAAAATTAAACCATCGTGGGTTTTTTTCAGTATTAACCATGGAAAACCAGATAATTAAGAAACATTGCACTTGGGTTTTGAGTTGGAGCAGTGTGTGAACGGGTGAATTTTCCGTTTTTTTTTTTTTTTGTTTTGTTTTTTGAGACAGAGTCTCGCTTTGTTGCCTAGGCTAGAGTGAGTGCCGTGGCGTCAGCCTAGCTCACAGCAACCTCAATCTCCTGACTCAAGCAATCCTGCTGCCTCAGCCTCCCGAGTAGCTGGGACTACAGGCATGCGCCACCATGCCTGGCTAATTTTATATATATATATATATTAGTTGGCCAATTAATTTCTTTCTATTTTTTTATAGTAGAGACGGGGTCTCGCTCTTGTTCAGGCTGGTTTGGAACTCCTGACCTCGAGCAATCCGCCCTCCTCGGCCTCCCAAGAGCTAGGATTACAGGCATGAGCCACCACGCCCGGCCTGAATTTTCCGTTTTTGTTTTATGTTTAATTTGAGTCTCTTCTCCAGCTCTTTCTCAGGCAATACAGCCTGGGCGTGGGGAGTTGGGCGCGCCGCTGGCTAACACCGAAGGAGGGCACAGCCACGAGCTGCCCACCGGCACCGAAACACGCAGCCGCTGGCACCGTGGCGCGGTCTCCTGTTTCCTCCCGAAGCTGCGGGGCTCAAGCGCGGACTTAATCCCTAGTTTTCCAAAGAAAGTGATGCTTAGGATGAGTCGCTGCCCCTGGAGACCCAGGGCCAAGAGCGTCTTGTGTTAGAGATAAAGATGTCCCGATTTGGAGGGCGTCCAAGCTCCAGGGCCGCCCTGCTTCTCCCCCGCGCGGCTCGCCAGCGCGCGCCTTAGCCTGGCGCTGCGCCCGCGCCGCCTCCGGGGCGCTTTCTGAGTTCGGAGGCAGGGGCTCACCTCCAGGAGTCGCCGCTTTTATTTTCTTCTACAGAGAGAGACGACGCAGGGCGTTTTTTGTTGTTGCTTTTTTGCTTGGAGAGAGTAATCGAGTCAGAACGCCCCTCTGAATAAAAGAAATTTCCCTGGATCGGAAAGGGGAATTTTCCCATCAATGAACTTGTGCTATCTCCCGGTGTCCCCTCCACACCTGCCTGGGCTCTGGAGTCTGGCAAAACTGCGTTCCAGTCCAGCCCCGGGTTCCTCAAATATTGGCCTACAACACTGATAAAAATTATTAAAGCTCTCTGTGCCTCAGTTTCCTCATCCATAAAATGAGGGCAAATAGTAATCATGGAGTTGTTGTGAGGTCTAAACCAAAGAATACACGTAAAGTGTTCAATTCAGTATCTAGAATATAGTTATCCCTCCACAAATATTACCTGTTGTTTTAGGATCACCATCACTTTCGGAAGCAGAGATCTGCTGTGGGGCTTCTCCCGCGGCCCAGCAGCGCCTGTCCTTTGGCAAGTCCCCACGCTGTCGCTGTTGATCTGATTCTTGTGCATGTACCCACTGATCTTTGCTGCGCTGTTCCTAGTTTTAGGTCGTCCTTCCTTGTAAATAAACCCCTTAGGTTTCCCACAGCGACCTTCGCCAGGTAAGTTAGACTCGCTGGAGCTCCGCTGCTCGCTTGGTGGAGGCTCCTGGACCTGTCCCGGCCCCAGACAGAACCCGCCACCCTCTCGGAGGCTCCCGCCCCAATCCCCGCGCTGGCCTCGGGGTTAGCCGGGAGGAGGAGAAAGGTCGCTGGCCTCCGACCACCCAGGGCTGGGCTCCGGATCTCCGAGCTCTGCCGAAAGCCCTCTGCGCGGCGGAGACTCGGGTCGCCCGAGCCTGTGCCTCCTGCGGAGAAGAGCTCGGGCTCTGGACCTGGAGTCACGCCATCCGGGGCTTGAATTCCTGTTCTGCTTCCCTACTGCTTGGCCTTACTGGAGTCCGCGTCTCCAGGTCTTTAGAATGGGCTCATAAGGAGGATTTAACGAGATGTTGTCGTCTTCGAAGAGTTCAGGACAGGGCCCGGCGCTAGTCCAGTACACGTGGTGGAGGTGATGGGCCGTTGTCGCCGGTGGAAACCCGCCTTCCAGGAAGGCCCGGGAGGCAGCGGAGAGTGAAGGGAAGAGAACAGGGAAAGAGGAACCAGTGCCACCCGGAGTACCACTCTGGGCTCCGCCCACCCAAGCAGCGGATGCTGGAGGATGGGCTTGGAGAAGCTGGGGTCGTGGGGGAGGGGGCGGGGAAGGACTCTGTCCAGAACCCTCCGGTGGCTGGACAGAGACGCAGCCGCCGCCTTATAGATCAGGCCCCCCAGGGCGACTCGCGTGGCACTCGCTTGGGGCTCACGTAGAGCTCGACTTGTGTAGCTCAATCTGTGAGCGGCCACCCTCGGCCGACGGGGGCCAGTAGACGCGAACCCTGGGCCTGGGCCTCAAGGAAGACTTCTCTCTGCGAACGGCGCGCCCTCCAGGTCCCAGAACCCCAGGGTTGACCCCAATATCTGCCTCACCTGGGAGCTGTCGGCCCCCCTCTGCTGTTCAGTCTTGGCGTGCGCCGCTCATACGAAGATCAGACACCGCTGCCTTCGAAAGCTCTCGGGGAAAGTGGGCGGAGGAAGCTCAGGGCTCCTGCAGGCGCTGCGCGCAGCTCCCTGCGCCCGTGCGCGCCGGCGGCCTGTGCGCTCCGGGTCCCGGCTACCGTCCCACCCTCCCCGCCGCCAGCCGGACTCTGCTCACCCGCCTGCACCTCCAGCTCCTCCCCTCCACGGAGTTCCTCGAGCTGGAGCCACAGGCCCCGCCATTCCTCTAGGATCCTCAACCCAGAGAGGAGGTAGGTTCGTGGAGCGCTGCGGAGCGCCGCGCTTGATTTGGGCGCCGATTGTGCCCCCAGACTCCACCCAGCGCTTCCCGTGCGCCCCTACCTCCGGAGCACGGTCCTGGCTCAGTCAAAGATGCGGAGCCCGGGATGCGGAAAATCCAGCGCTGGTTCCTCGGCACACGCACCCTCACGTGGAAGCCACTGAAAATGGGAACGCGGATCAAGAGCCTGGGAGAGGACGCCGCTACCAGTACTGGGACCTGAGCTGTGGGACTACTTGTGAGTTTCCCCAAGTCCCTTCTGTCCCCCACCTGAGCTAGGGACGTATAATGTCGAATCACATAGTGCCAAAAATAGTGCATAGGAAACAAACAAACAAAAACCCACACCCTTTTCCTCTTCGATACGTTTTTTCCTGTACGTTTGCTAACATAGTTACTCGAAGAAGTTCTCACATTGCAAACTAAATCCATACCACACAATAACAATATCTGAGAGTTGGTGATGATTTCTGGCACTGCCTATTGTTTTGAACAGCGGGGCAATGTCTGTAATTCACTCGTACCCTGCGCCCCAGGACTGGAGCCTGAACGCACTCAGCAACATTTACTGGGCTCCTACTCTGTGCTGGGCGCGGCTGGAAGCCTCACAGTGCTTGTCCTGGAAATGCCCTGATGGTCAGCACGGTCTTGTGGAGATTGAACTGATTATCAGTGAATTTCCCAGAGTAAATAGGAGTCACTCCCGATTCCCCACATATCTCCTTTGGAACAACAAGGGCTGTTTTGATTTTCCAAATGAATTTTGGCCCCCTGAGTCTAGCGCTGCCACCCTCTCTACATCCGCTCCTCCAATTCAGTTCAGTTCAACGCATTTGGGTTTGAATGAAATTTAAGTATGGCACTGCTTTTCTCAAGTTGGTGAAATCTACCTGTTCTTACATTTCCATCTCCCCATATCCTCTCTCTCTCTCTTTCATTCATTCATTCTCTCTCATTCTCTCTCTCCCTCTCTCCCTTTCACACATTCTCTATCTCCATCTTCCCTCGGACTCCCTGTGTGGGAGGGCATGTCTCTTCATCTTTGTGTGTCTGGGGGTGCCCATGTGTCCCCCGTGTGTTCGTGTGAATGTATTTAGGATATGTCTTGTGGGTGCCATGGTGACAATGATCAAGTGTATCTAGGGACCAGGGACACCTTCCTGCATACTCTTTTATTCCACCCAGCACAGCCATCTCCCTAGTGTCTCATGACACTGCTGATGATGAAAACTGTACACTCAGGTTACTGTCTCAATTCTTCATCTTGACAAAATGTTTGAAGGCACAAGGTTGAAACTTTGGGAGAATATGGCACTGTTAAAGTACTACCATAGGAATTTTTAAATCTTTTCTTTCCAAGAAAAAAATTCACAACTAAGGTATTTCATGATTTCAACAGCCTCACCTACAAACCCTTTTGAAAATTAAGTATTTAGGTCATTAAACATGAAATGTCTGATTTCTAATCGAAAGTTAGTTGATTATATCTCAAACAAGAAGCAGTACAATTATTCAAA